CTTTTTTTATTTTATAATCCATAACATCGTTTTTCTCTTTTCTTATTTTTTCCACCTTACTTTGTTGTCATACGCGCACGTATCCAAACATATTAATTATCAATCTCCGCTCATTTGAAATTCCGAGACGGAAAAAGGGGTCATTACTCTCAGTAAACGCAACACATATTATATTTATGGATAAAACACCCTGCTGTATCCGTCTCTTATTGAAAGAAAGAAAGAAAGAGAGATAGATATATATATATATATATATGAGAGAGAGAGAGAGAGAGCGAGAGAGAGAGGGGGGGAGGGAGAGAGAGAGAGGGAGAGAGAGAGCTAGGGAGAGAGCGCAATCCCCGTGCACTAGAGCGTGGAGAGGGGAAAAAAACAAAAACAAAAACAGCTGTGAATGTGAGTGAGCAGTGGTGGGCAATAAACTGCTGCTTTTTTTTGTTTTTGTGGCTTTTTTTGGAGGGGGAAGGGTGTTTTTTTTCGTTGTTTTGTTTTTGAGTAGGAACTTTTTTGTTTGTTTTGTTTTGCTGTATTTTTCTTGTTTTTTGTGTAAGAGTTTTACAGCACTTTCAACACAAATGGGTCAGAAGTTTCATAAAAGCCGAAGATAAGAGGTCGCTGGTGCCAGAGATAAACAATCGTATGTACTGTACGTTGTGTTGTGCCACACAATCTCCCAGTACAAGACCAAGAGGAAGACCTCCAAATGCCAGCGTGAAAGTGAAAGAAGCTGAGGGAACTGTGGGAAAACTTTGCACCCACCGCTCCACTTGCGGAGGTACTTTCTTACTCACTCAATCACTCCCTCACTCCTTCACTCACTCAACCACCCACCTTCCCCCCTCTCTCTCACTCACTCTCTCACTCACTCACACATACAGAAACACACATACACTCACTCACTCATTCACTCACTTACACACTCACACACACTCTCCCTCCCTCCTTCCCTCACTCACTCATTCCCTCTCTCCCTCCCTCACTCACTCACTCACTCCATCCCTCATCAAAGAGAAGACAGGCACAGGCCGCTTCCACCTCATTCCTGCTGGTTGGGTCGCTTGATCTTTCTTTCTTTTTTCTTTTTTTT